ATTGATTTAAACAGCCAATCATACGAATGTCTGCCTATGACAAAAAAAAGGTAAAAAAACTTAAAATAATGATTAATAATGATTGTATAGAAGAAAAAATCTGGTTGTATATTTTTTTTATTATATGTAATGTGTAGAAATTCTTTAAATAATTGAAAGTATACGAATAACAATAACTAACTATATATTTTATTAATAAAATTATTAGAAAATCTTTTAAGATACGATAAGAAATGTATATATATTCACAATGTATTAGATTAATAGTTGTGTAATATAAAATAGTATAATGTAAAATGTTAGAGATTTAATTAAACAAATAATTAAGTATAGAATTACAATTAAAGCATAGAATTAGATATAAAACTAGCGAAGAATTAAACGCAGAATTAACATATATAGATTAATAGATTTTGTAAGTAAATACTGTTAAAGGTTAATTAAATTAATAAATACATGCTGTACTTACTCACAACAACATTCGGCAGCACTTATCTTGGAACTTTAACTAAATTCCTCTTAATTTTAATTAAATTTATCTTAATTTTTTATTTTTTTTTATTTTATAAAAATTTACGATTTTTATTGGTTAATCAACATGTGATATTTTTCACATGATATAAATTTACTGTAAAGTATATAAAAAAAAAATTGTTTATCAATTGTGTAATGGTTCAGGTGACTCAGGTAAAGATTTCCTAATTTGGAATAGTCTCACCTGTTACCAGTATCGGTTACGGTTATGACCGGTCATGACCGGTTATAACCGTAACCGTTGCTATCCCTAGCTGCAATGAATGATCAAGAAGAGGTGTTATATTAAATATCTGCATTATTAAAGTTCTAATATATGTTTGTTCATGGCCTGTTATTTAACTGGATTATCTGTAACTTAACATCTGTTCATTTTAGGAATCTGATTGGTTATTATATTGCCATGCCACATTTTATTTATTAGGCTTAGCATTAAAATTTGATGATGAGTTCAAATAAAAAAAAATATTATTTAAGATTTTGTGAATAGGTATTTATTATCTTAAAACTTGAATTACTTCCTGGTATAATACTAAATTCTTATAATATGTATTAAAAGCTTAGACTATTACGAAGAGTTGTAAATATTATTAGATTTAGATCCTATATGGTTATTTATAAATTTTAAGGGTATCAAATAATGGGATCCGGTTCATTTCACTGAAAATCAATTCTGCAGTAAGATTTACCGACATTCAATTCACTGGCAAATTTAATTCACTGATAATATGATTCACCAGCAGTACATTTCAATGACAAGTTTTTTTTTTATAAATTATACTACCTTAACTCGAATTCTAGTCTGACCCTAATGACTATGACCAGAATTACTTTGTCGATGAAATAACTGTCAGAGAATCATACTGTCTGCAAGTCGGTGAATTGATCGTTGGTGAAATGAATGGAACTGAAATAAGAATCATATTAAACAAAAACACTATAATGCAAATAATTATATAACATCTGGGCTAATTTTTTCTGTATCCCAAAATTTAAAGGATATTAACTAACTAATCAGGGTTAAATAGTCATTTGACAGATATATTACATATCGAAATTAATATCAATATGATTTTTATTATTGTACAGTGTGATTTATATACCGTAACTACTCATATATTTTAAATCTAAGGATATGTAATTAAATTGGGTCACAGGCGATAGTAAATACTTGAATTATCTTAGTAATATCTTTATCTAATCGATTAATACACTAGAAAAACAGGAACTGTTGTAAGTCTAGAGCATAACATCCAATCAAATATATTGATTTTATTAATTAATCACGTGGTCGGACAGACAGACAATGATCTGTGTGACAGACATCAAATTTTGCTAATGGCCTCTAGTATGTGATGATCATGTGCTATATGTATTCCTGAAAACTACCCCAGGAGCAAAACATTCGTTTTTGATACTCCTGCGCCTACTTTTTTGATACATCCAAATGTACCCTAAAATCCCTATACTTTTTTGATACATGCTCACGTGACTCACGTGACCTGACTAATCTGATTGCGTAAGTTCATTAAAATTCTACAAACTTTATTAGATGCAATACTAATGATATAAATTTTATGGATAAAAGTTTAATTGCTATAGCATTTAAACACAAGCTCAGCTTTATTGAAATAACTGTTCAAATTGAACACAATTATTATATGATATATTATTTTAATCGTATTCAATGATTAATGATATTTAAAACATATTGTCGCGCAAGTTTTAATTGATGCTCAAGTGTTTCTGATTCATTAGCCAGGTGCAGAATATTTGTAGTTGATGCTGACTGGTAAGCTTCGGGTGTTGTAAATTGTGGTTGAGGTTGTGTTTCATGTGTTGCAAAAGAAAGAAGCATTGTAGTTACTGGATATTGTTCATTATTTTGTGAAGTTAAAGTAGAGGTTTCAGGGATTGGTTCATTATAGTAGTACTATATGTAAAAAAAATAATTTTAAATTAAAAATAATTTTTTAACCCTTAAACAATTTTTTTTTTTTTAAAAAAAAATAAATAAATAAATAAATAAATTTTACTTTGATCTTGCGTTTTGCCTTCCTAACGCTTGCTGTTTTTCTTTTCTGAACTGAAGGTTGTAGAATTTCATTATTGGTATTTGTACCTTCAAGTTAAATTGAACGCAGAATATGGCTGGGCTTGTATGGTTTAGCCAATAGTTTTGGAGGTGAGCCATTGTTTACTGATTACCATTGGTTTAGTTCTAATAGTCGAAATGGATCTGTACAAATACTTGATAGTGATTTAGAAGGATAAAAAATCTGTATGCCTATAATATCTAAATTGATTAGATTATTCTTTGTAACCAAATTTATATTTGACAATAAAAAAATAATACAATATTGGTATACCCTTATGATTATAAAGACGAATTATTTCTTGATATGCTTCATCAGTAGATCCAGAGTAAATTGTGTTGTTTTTTTTATCCGCAGATATAACTCATTTCTTATTTTTAAAATAATTAACTAGTTCATATTTTACTTCATGTACCATGTTCACTTGAGCTATTGAGAAAATTCTTGCAGCATAACAATGCTTGCAAATGTTGTGAAATGGACTATTCCATATATAATACAAACATTGTGGACATTCTCCAGTAATGATATTTGTAACATAGAATCTATCTCGCAATGCAACTTTACAATTGCTAGCTAATAGTTCCATCATCAGTTGAAAATAAGTAGTGTTTTCTTTTTCTAACTCTATCGATTCTTCATTATTATCTAGGTTGATAACTTCTGATTCATGATACTTCTTGATATAATAATAATCAGGATGATTAGATTGCTTGATCAAACCTAGAAAAAAGTACAACTTTCCCTGATTTAAATATCGATTCATATCTGATGTCATTTTAGACGATTTATTTTGCTATAATAGTAACAATTTTATATTATATAAATTAAATAAATTGATAATTATAATATATCGATATATATTTAGATTTTTAAATTAGACAATTAATAATATTTACAACGAACCTAGTTTAGTTACACTAGAAAAAAAATATTAACAACTTTTACTTACTTGTTCAATCAATTGTATATTAAAATATATGACTAAACCTGCTTCATAAGTTACTTGTTCTGTCCCTTCTCTGTTTAAATTTTTACATAATAACTTTAATCCATAAAGCCGCTCAATGAATGTGACAACTGTTTGTCTGCCTGAAAATTGAGACTCAATTGTACGATTCATCCTTTCCGTATAATTATTAGTGGTTATTAAATTTGTATTATTCATAGTTAGAAGTCGCCTGGCATCAATAAACTATAATCTCTATTCATTACATATCCAATTTTTATCCAAATCTTCGATTAATAAAGACTTCTGCTCTTGAGTAAGTGAAAGCATAGTAATGAATTTCTTATAACAATCTGCCATTTTAAATACCTTTTTCTCAGTATGATATCGACCTACTATTTTGAATCCTAATGCAATTATATATCTTAGTAATAATATATATTGTTAAATTAAATTATAAGCTTATATTTAGTAAATAATTAGGTATAAATAATAATAATGATAACTATAATAATAAAACTCCAACCGTAATGAATATGGAACATTTCATTCCTTTAAGTTATTACTAAATGTTTGCATAATATGAAACCAGCAAAGTAAATACATAATCTATGACCAACATAGTTTGTCTTTCTTCAAACCTGCTTGAATTTGGTTAACATATTCTTGGCCTTTATCAGTAAGTTTTAA